GAGAACACTGTGGTCTACCACAGGGAGTAGAGTCACCCTATGGTCTGAATGGCATCGCAGTGGATTCCAGTTGAAGGGAAAGGACAAAGAGCACAAAAACACTGGATGCCTCTGGGGTCACTGAGGAGCTTGGGAGGGAAGGAGAAAGAAAAGGCCAGAGAGTGCTGAGGCTCCAACACCCCCAGCTTCTCTTCTCCACTTGGACCAGGCCCTGCTCATTTTCACTTGCAAGGTGTCCTATTTCCATACACTGGATACAGTCCTGATGGCCTTGCTCCCACCAAGGAGCCCTCTAGTTCTGAAGTCACAAGGCTCTGGTGGGTATGAGATCCTGTCCCCTTGTCCAGATCCCTCTCCTTCCTCTACTTTCACTTTGCTGGCTCCAAGGGGGCCCTGAGTCCTGCTTATTCCCTGGTCCCTACCCCTTTGCTGATGGCCCTTCCCTAGTACCCGGAATCTCTGCACAGTCCCGCCCTCCCTGATGGATTCCCTTGCAGCCACATTACTCCGGGCCACTCTGCACAGGGAGGAGTGTCCTGGAGGATCCAGCGGTCCAAGAAGCCTGCTCACCTCCCCGTGCCCCGCTCCGCTGTCCCTTCCCAAGGCGCACTCTCTCACCTCTCTCAGTAGAGTCTACCCCATAGAAAACTTTTTAAATGTCTCCAGAATGATGTTTTTCCCCGCTTCCAGCCAACAACTCTGGTTCTTCCAAAAAAAAATAAGGAAGGTGCAGTTTATTTATACATTTTTTCAGGGAATTCTCCTGCTTCTCCCCAGAAGTCTGTTCTCTGTTTCACAGCTTCAGGTGATTCCCACCTGAGGGCTGTTGACCTCCCTCCTTCCTGGGGCAGACCTTCCATCTAGGCTGCAGATGCCGTTGCATCTAACTCAGACTCAGACTCACACACATACACCCAGCTGTCTCTGTCTGTGCGTCTGTGCGTGTGTGTGCACATGCACGCACTCATGTGTGTTTTGTGGAAAGGATTTCAGGAGGAGCCTTCTGTTCATAACCAGTTTCTCCCAGCTGTCTCTGCCGTGGAACCTCCTCACTTCAAAACATTCCCACGATGGGGAGTAAGATTTTTCAGGCACACTTTCCCATCCAGCAGGAGGTGGGGTCAGGACAAGCTTCCAGCATCCTCTTCCCTGGATGGCTGGAGAGAAATGCGGGCCCACAGATGGGTGGTAACCACACTGGTTTTCCAGAAAGTTCTGATTTTAAGAATTTTAACCTATATTCCACCTATATTCCAGTGCTCTAAGACCCAGCAACCATATGCCCAAGCTATGAGCTCAGGGAATAGGGTCCCCTTCAACTTTAATAAGTCATTTTATCTCCCCAGTTCTCAAAGACTGAAACTGTGTAGACAACACGAAGTAACAAAGATGTGTGCACTATAAAAGTTTAAAATGCTACCAAATTAGGGAACCTCAACTAGTTCTTTGTTTTATGTTAGGAAAATGGGAAGCAACACCTCTCTATCCTGTGAGTTTAAAATGCTGGTTAAGGCACTGCCACTGGGTCTTGCTAATCACAACAGCTGAAAACCTGCCAAAGAAGATGAAGATGAAGACAAAGAAGAAAAAGGAGGGCTGGGTGCGGTGGCTCACGCCTGTAATCCCAGCACTTTGGGAGGCCAAGGCGGGTGGATCGCCTGCGGTCAGGAGTTCAAGACCAGCCCGGCCAACACGGTGAAACCCCATCTCTACTAAAAATACAAAAATTAGCTGGGCATGGCGGCACATGCCTGTAGTCCCAACTACTGGGGAGGCTGAAGCTGGAGAATCGCATGAACCTGGGAGGCGCAGGTTTCAGTGAGCTGAGATCATGCCACTGCACTCCAGTCTGGGTGACAAAGCGAGACCCCATCAGAAAAAAAAAGAAGAAGAAGAAGAAGACAAAGGAGAAGGAGAAGGAGGAGAAAAGAGGCAGGAGGAAGAGAAAAGGGGCCAGAGGAGGAAAAACTCATAAAAGAGAAGAAATACGGCCAGACACGGTGGCTCACGCCTGTAATCCCAGCACTTTGGGAGGCTGAGGCGTGCGGATCACGAGGTCAGGAGATCAAGACCATCCTGGCTAACACGGTGAAACCCCATCTCTACTAAAAATACAAAAAATTAGCTGGGTGTGGTGGCAGGCGCCTGTAGTCCCAGCTACTCAGGAGGCTGAGGCAGGAGAATGGCGTGAACCCGGGAGGTGGAGCTTGCAGTGAGCAGAGATCACGCCACTACATTCCAGCCTGGGAGACAGAGTGGGACTCCGTCTCAAAAAAAATAAAAAAGAGAGAGAGAGAGAGAAGAAATACGCCTCCAGCCCGCTCCAACTAATACCCACATATTGGCATGTGTTCATTCATTCTACACATATAGCAGAAATGTACCAAATTATACTTGTTTTGTCCCATGCATTTTCCCCTCACAGTTAGACTCTGAATATTTCCCTCAAGTACCCAAGTTACCTTTCCTGCATTGTTATTAATGACAGCTCTGGCTTCCCGTGATTTTCTTAACCAATCCCCTTTAGATGTCCTGTCAGTTGTCTCCTGTTGATTTTCTTCCTCTCCCTCTCCAAAACAGTATTATAACACTACCATGCGCACCCTTGAATATACTTATTTAGTGGTTTGTGATTAATTTCTAAATAATAGATCCCTAGAAATTGAATTGCTAGATTGAAAGGCATTAAAAGTTTTGAAATGCTTCATTTTTTTTTATTGTTGAGGAGGTCATCTTGGTAACACACAAACTTAATACGTGGGTGATAAACACAGAACACAGGCGAGCTCTACACGTGGACTGGAACGACCACAGGGACCCTCTCTCCTTACAGACCCCAAAGTAACCAGCCAAGCGCTCTGGTAATTCGACAGCTTGGAGCCAAACCACCAGTGAGATCGTTTCCTGCACAGAATTGTACCACTAACTTAGCGATTTTAAAACCCAAACTTGGCTGGGGGGGGCAGTAACTCACGCCTGTAATCCCAGCACTTTGGGAGGCCAAGGCAGGCAGATCACGAGGTCAGGAGTTCGAAACCAGCCTGACAAACATGGTGAAACCCCATCTCTACTAAAAATACAAAAAAAAAAAAAAAATAGCTGGGCATGGTGGCAGGCGCCTGTAGTCCCAGCTACTCGGGAGGCTGAGGCAGGAGAGTCACCTGAACCGGGAGGCAGAGGTTGCAGTGAGCTGAGATCACGCCACTGCACTCCAGCCTGGCGACAGAGCGAGACTCCATCTCAAAAAAATAAATAAACAAACAAACAAACAAATAAAAGCCAAACTGCAGGGCCAAGTGTCTGTCTGCCAATGCCATGTGAGGACCTGTGCCCCATGCTGAAATGGCCTCCCCATGCCAGGGTGTAGATGGCAAATTTGATTTTGGAAAGGGGTAGAAACATTTACATTGAAGTAAAGAAGAAAAAGTGGCATCCAAGTGTACAGAGAAGTCTTCCAAAAGCCTACTTTTCACCTAGGAAACCCAAAAGAAGCCATTACAGACTCGTCACCTGCAAGACTACTAGTGATTGTTCTATCCCAAAATTCATTTGAAAGATTGGCAGTCACTTAGCTTCTACTGGAGTCATCAATGCCTGTGGCACTGAGTGGTTGAGGAGCTCACAGAGCCAAAAAAAGTTGACAGATGTGACATAATGAATGACCTCCCTTATCACTCCCAGGTGAGGGATGGCAACAGGACCTTATGGCAGCGACAGGCTTGAACTCGGGTCACAGGTGAGAAAGGGGATCCAGTTAGAAGAAGAAGCAGACAAGTTATAAGACAAGTTTCACCTGTGCATGGATGGCGTATTAGTCCATTTTCATGCTGCTGATAAAGACATACTCAAGATTGGGTAATTTACGAAGAAAAAGAGGTTTAATGGACTCACAGTTCCACACAGCTGAGGGGGCCTCACAATCATGGTGGAAGGCAAAAGGCACGTCCTACATGGCAGCAGACAAGGCAGAATGAGAGCCAAGTGAAAGGGAAGATCCCTTATAGAATCATCAGATCTCACGAGAATTACTACCACAAGAACATGCGGGAGAAACTGCCCCCATGATTCAATTACATCCCACCAGGTTCCTCTCACAACATGTGGAAATTATGGGAGCTACAATTCAAGATGAGATTTGGGTGGGGACACAGCCACACCACATCAGATGGAGACCATCAAGTACACCTTAGTTAGTGTGTGTCTGCTCCCTCCTCCTAAAAATTAACAGTAATGCTTGCCCTTCCTACCTCCTCTGATGTGTGGCCAGGAATCACTGTGAGAATGAGAAAGTGCAGTCCTTGAAGGTGAGCTCAAAGGGTTAAGCAGGTCACCTTTGGGCTGAGGCAGCCAGGAAGATGCTTCCTGGTGACCTGAGAACATCATGACATCCCCACTAGGTTTCTGCTGCCTAGAGGGGAAATCTGTTTTCAGCTCAGATGTAATCCAACCACAAAGACATTGAAAACAGCCCTCCTGCTGCAAGCAGACAGCCACAGGGTGTTCACCCTACTATTGTTTATAATACCAAACATTCAGAAACAAACTGTGCTGTCCAACAGCCCTCAGATATATACAGAATGTCTATACAATGGGATACTAATGTGTTTTAAAAATAAGAGAATGGCCTGAAAATATGCTCAAGAAGCCATGTTATGTGGAAAAAGCAGACGGCAGGTTCCTCAGGGTCTCCTGTGATGTGGACCAAAATGTTGATGTTTCTATTTCTGCAGCGCGATCCTCTCTCCTTTCAGCTCATTTGTGTTTTCTAAATTTTCAACTGTGCTTGAATGAGTAAAGAAACTTTGGCTTGTTCTATTTGTCTTGCTTTGTGTTTAGCCTCTCTTCACCACAGCGCAGTCGAGAATTCCAGGGGCCAAAATGCTGACCGAGCAGTCGGCATGGGTCAGAGCACAGAGCTGCAGCACTGGGCAGGTTATTAATAAGTAATTAGTGGCTAGCGTTTCTCAGAGTACTTTGGAAGGAAGTAATGCCTCCTAGTCCACCCCACAAAAAAGACTTCAGATGTGGAACTTTAAGCAAGTTCAGTCACAGACTTAAAAAGAAACAGCCCGGCCCATGAGAGCCTGCTTCAGCCAGAACAGCATGAAAACGGTGAAAAAGAATCTGCAGAACCAGGGTAAGGGGAAAGACAGGGACCAGCACAAACCCTGCTTCTTTGAAGGGGCTGTCAGCAGTAATCGGGGAGCAAGAAGCCTTCATTAGGACTCAGTTGTATAGCACATGTGATCTGTGGTAGGTGAGCACCAAATGCACTGGAGCATTGCAGATGGGGAGACAGACCTGCCTCATTTGGGCAGACGTGGCTTTCTAACCCAGAGTACATGAAACAGGCAAGAAGGACCCAAGAAGTTTGTCTCTCTGGATATACTACAGTTTACAAAAACAATTCTTGTTAAATAAAGTGCAGGTTCTACATAAATGCAGTGTTCATCTTACCTATTTTCTGTTTGTGGAAAGGCTTGGATTTGGCCATTGATACTGTGTTCATTGGAATGGCAGTGTGGGAAGTGTAGGGTCAGGGACCAGTCCAGCCTGGGACTCAGACTCTGAACTGCCAGGGGCCACTCTTACAGGGTGCAGTGACATGGCAGCAACTGCTGGCTGCTTTGGAAAGGGAACAACACCTCAACTCGGCAGGCAGCCCACCCAAAGTGTTTCCTTTCAGCTCTCTCCCCACTCTCCCAGAGAAGGTCATTGGCCCTGAAAAGTGATTGCAATAAAATAAAATAAAGTTGGCACAGTGCGGTGGTTCATGCCTGTAATCCCAGCACTTTGGGAGGCTGAGGCAGGAGGATTGCTTGAGGTCAGGAGTTGGAGACCAGCCTGGGCAACATGGTGAAACTCCTTCTCTACAAAAGATTCAAAAATTAGCCAGGCGTGCTCGTGTGCACCTGTAGTCCCAGCTACTTGGGAGGCTGAGGTGGGAGGATGGCTTGAGCCTGGGAGGTGGAGATTGCAGTGAACCACTGCTCTCCAACCTGGGCAACAGAGAGAAACCCCGTCACAAATTAATTAATTAAAGTCAAATACCATAAACAGAAGAGGAAGGAAGAGGGGGCATCATTCTAATTAAAACAGTCTTCCTGATTCAGTTACTTCCCCAAAACGGGGAGGGGGTTGCTATGGCTTAAACCTCCACAGAATCCCCCAGACCACAGGGGAAACTGATGTTGTTGAAAACTGCTCAAAGATGCTGTAACTGCCTTGACTCTCTTTGGAAAGGGAGAGGCATTATTCTGACTGCTTTACGAACAGGACAACCAGAGGTCCTGGTTCCTTCATTCAGTTAAGAAAGCCCGCCTGAGTGAGGGTCCGTGTTGGAGCCCAGGTTTCTAAGACCCTAGCACCTCACTGCCCAAGAGCCACACCCAGATAAACCAAAGCTCCAGAAATAGCACCAGGTTTTCCACCCCATTCAATAAGCTTTTGACTGAGAACAGTATCTTGTTTTATTAAGTGATTTATTTTATGAGTTGCAAATACTAGGCACTTGACCCAAAACCTCAGAGAGACTTACAGATCCAAATCGCTTTATCATTCTACTCCTTGGGTTTTGTGTGTTACAACCACCTATTAACTGATTCTGTGACCTTTAGCGGGCCACTTAACCTCCTTTTCTGAGTTTTTTTCATCCATAATAGAATCCCTCTCCATCCAATAACACAGAAGCCATGTGGTATAAAACCCATAGACTGAGTTCATGAACTCACATGAGGAGCCTGAAAAAGAAAATGCAGATTCCATCCCCCAGAATTCCAATTCCGTGGATCTAAGCGAGGCCCGGTGAACTGTACTTTTATAATAAACATCCCTGAAAATGAAGATGCAGGTGGTCAAACTCACACACACACATAAAAAACCTAGAACAAAAAAACCAACACTCCAGGCATTTTTCTCATCCAACACTCTGTCAATCAATCAATTTTTAACTACATAAAAGAATATGTGAAAAGAAAATGATAACAATGACCCAATTGCATCTGCATAAACTTGTGCTTTCATAGACATGATGAAAATCTAATTTGATAGTAAGTCATGAGCCTAGCAGGCAGGAGGAGTTCAATGACCATTGTGTAAATAAACAGGTTTTTTTGGTTTTGGTTTTGGTTTTGGTTTTGGTTTTCTCAGGACAGGGTCCTGCTCTGTTACCCAGGCTGGAGTGCAATGGCACGATCTTGCCTCACTGCAGCCTCAATCTCCTGAGCTCAAGCAATCCTCCCACCTCAGCTTCCTGAGTACTGGGACTACAGGTGCATGCCATGACACCAGGATGCTTTGTGTTTATTTTTTGTAGAGACAGGGTCTCTCTATGTTGTCCAGACTAGTCTCAAACTCCTGGGTTCAAGCAATCCACCAGCCTCAGCCTCCCAAATTGGTGGGATTACAGGCATGAGCCACTGTGCCCAGTCTAATTTTTTTAATACATCTTTTTTTACATTTTCACATTCCCCTGCTGTCAAATATTAAATTACTTATTATCAGCAAAAGCAAGTTGAAAAAAAAAATTACCTGGGTCTGAGCAAATTGGAACAGATTTCATACTCAATTGCTCTCAAACAGAATCTTGACCCAACTCCAATGACCTAACCCAATGCTGCAATTTTCTAGCTCATAGGTGACAAAACTAACTGAAAACGTACATCTAAGTACACTGCCAGCAGCAAGACCCAAGCTGAAGTTACATAGATTTTCTATTCCATGAATACTGTCTTTTTTCAGTCATTGTCAATAACATTGAGGTTAGTCACCGGGGAGACCACACAAAACAAGATTTGAAGGCTGGGAATGGGTGGGTCTTGGTGTGGGAGGGAGGGGTCTTTGTGTGCCCACATGTCTCTGGCTTCTGATCTCCTTACTGGAACCCTCAAGGGCCAAGAGGAAGGTTGGGGTGGACGAAGCCCAGCATTCTAGTCTCATCCCTGCATTACTGCTGGGCGGAAAGAGGCAAAGACCAACCAAATGAGAACAGCAAAGGCTATTTACTCAGAGCTTGCTTCAACAAGGGAGTCAGCCATTGTCACTTGCACATGGCAGTGACCTAAAGGCAGGCAGAGGAGTGGGAGAGCTTTATTGTTGGGATAAAATGTAGGGGAAAGGCTTTAGATGTGCCCTGATTGGAGGCTGCTGGTGTCGGGAACAGGGCATCCCATGGGATTGTTTAGGGGTGCATGGTGGGCTCTGTCTAATTGGTACTAAGTTGGAAGTAGGGACAAAAATTAGAGAGGCTATCAGTTATTAATCAAGTCTTGGCCATTTGGGGCTGATTGCTATGGAAGCTATTGTTTGACTTCCTGGATTGTTACTAGAGATGGCAATCTGACTTCCCATAAACCTGGCTTACAGCAGGCTGGCTTCCCAGACTGGTTATTGTAGATAAGGGATTGGTTTCCTGGGCAGGTGGCTACAGGTTGTGGGTCAGTGTTTTGTTTTTATAAATGAACCATCAATTGTTCATTTGTATATCCAATCTCTGCTCTATAGAACAAACCAGTCTGTAGCAAAGACCCCTGGATAAAGTCCTGAGGCCTTAGACCATGCACTGGAAACTGTACCTGTCACCCCAGGCAGGAGCTGAGACATGGGTGATGTTAGAGTGGGAGAGAACAGGGGTCTACTCTCCACTGCCTCCTGTGGCAGATGAGCCTCCTGGTCACTCAGCTGGGGGTGGTCATGGGGAACTAGAACACCAATCCCCCAACTCCCAGCTCAGTGCTCTCCCCAGATCTCAAGGTGTGCCTATGATTCTGATGAGAGATGCCTTCATTTATTAGGGATATGTGTGGGTTGTCCTTGAGTTCACAAAAGCACTTTTATTAACCCAGAACTCCAAATTGGCCATGTTCTGAAGGACAAGCTGGGGAGTACTGGGTTACAAACCATGAACCACTCCAAATCCCCATTTCCTCATCTGGGAAGGTCGGATGATTCCATTTCTAAAGAGCTTTCCAGGCTATCCTACTGTAATTCTATGATCTTAATGTGTCTACTGTGAGTGTGTCAAACGACAGTCCTCTATCAGGAACAACCAAGAAGTTGCTGATGAGTCTAAAACATTCTCCTCAGAATTCTTCAATTCATCCCAGTAGCTGTCCACTCCAAAATGAGACTATAAAAAATAAATGAAATAAAAAATAAAGGACTTCTCTAAATACCATATAAAACTTTGACTTTGTCTCCTCATATATTGGTTTCCCAAAAGGAGTAAATTTGACCTAGCATCCTGCTCCATCAGATCAGATAGTCAAGGAAAAGGAATGTGTGTATAATCCAAGTTTAAGAGGAGATCTCTGATATTTTGTCCAATTCTATTTTCCAATTCCAAGACTAGGCAGCAAGGGGTATTTTTGTTTGTTTCTTTTTTAATGTATCTTACTCACAAGTTTATAATTTGCTTTCCAAAAATGTCACTTCATATTTGAACTCCATTCATCATTTTAGGTAAATTATTTGCAGGTCCCAGACCTTTATGTCTTTTTATTCTCCCTTTTTCTTTTTTCTTTCTTTTTTTTTTTTTTTTGATGGAATCTTGTTCTGTCACCCAGGCTGGAGTGCAGTGGAGCAATCTCGGCTCACTGCAACCTCCAACCTCCGGGTTCAAACAATTTGCTTGCTCAGCCTCCCAAGTAGCTGGGATTACAGGTGAGCACCACCAGCCCCAACTAATTTTTGTATTTTTAGTAGAGATGGGGTTTCGCCATGTTGGCCAGGCTGGTCTCGAACTCCTGACCTCAAGTGATCCTCCCGCTTTGGCCTCCCAAAGTGCTGGGATCACAGGTGTGAGCCACTGCACCAGGCCTCCTCCTCTTCTTCTTCTTTTTTTTTTTTTTTTTTTTTTTTTTTTTTTTTTGAGATGGAGTCTTGCTCTGTCCCCCTGGGTGGAGTGCAGTGGCGCAATCTCGGCTCACTGCAAGCTCCACCTCCCGGGTTCACGCCACTCTCCTGCCTCAGCCTCCCGAGTAGCTGGGACTACAGGCGTCCGTGACCACACCCAGCTAATTTTTTGTATATTTTTTTTTTAGTAGAGATGGGGTTTCACTGTGTTAGCCAGGACGGTCTTGATCTCCTGACCTGGTGACCATCTTGGCCTCCCAAAGTGCTAGGATTACAGGCGTGAGC